TATATACTCCCCTGCTTTCCCTGTTCCGGTGCCAGATCATTGTCATGTCAACCCGCCTGTTTGCCTCGTCCGCTGCCTGCCCTGCCTCGTCCGCTGCCTGCCCTGCCTCGTCCTGCCCGGTTTCCCCCCTCGTCTCTCGTCCTGTCCTCGGATTCCCTGCTGTGTGCCTGTAAGTTTCCTGTTGTGTTCTTGGTTCATTAAAACCCGTTCCACTCTGCTTCTGGTCATGTCTGCTTTTGAGTCCTCCACCACACCCCGTGACAGAGCCGTTCAATATTTTAACATCATCTTAGGTCAGGGGTGTTCAAACCTTTTTCAAAGAGGGCCACATTTGATAATGTGAAAATGCCCAAGGGCCAACAGTCCCTGCTGACATTATTTTAAACAATACAAGTAGCCTATACACACAGTATTATTTAATAATTATATTTTCAATGACAGCAAATAGCAATGTAACCAAATGTGACCATTCAGGTGTGAATAAATCTCAAGAACTATTCTGTTTCTTTCACATCTTGAAAGTTAGATAACATAAAGAACAAGCCATCTAAAAGCTAACTACCTAGAAACTGATCAATGTTTTCACCTCAAGACAATCTTAAATATGACTTGGAGAGGGTAATGAAAAGTTGTCTAACATTTAAGTTCAACACACATGAAACAGGCTAACGAAAAAAAATCAAGTTGTCTCTTAACTCTTCAGTGTTACGAGCCAGGCAAACATTAGCAAACTGTCTTCTTCTCGGGGCAAATGTTTTCTGCTATTTTCATAACACAGGCTTTGATAAACTCACCGTCCGTAAAAGGTTTGTCATGTTTAGCAATTAACATGGCCACTTCGTAGCTGGCTTTGGTGACGTTTTCATTTGACTCATGGGCGAAAAAGGCCGCTGCTGTGTGGTCAAGTTATCTTGGAGTTGCTTCACTTTTCTAGCACGGTCGCTCTCTGATAGCTTGTTGCAGCATTAGCATGTTTGGTCTCGTAGTGTGTCTTTACATTATATTCTTTAAACAAGGTAACAGTCTCATGACTAATTAGGCAGACAGTTGTTTCAGTTTTCAGTGAAAAAATATTGCGATCTCCACCTCTCCTGGAAGCAGCGGCCCTCGTTATCGACTTTGCTTTTTTTACTTTACGTAGCCGTGACAGTTCAAGGGTCAGAGCCAATTTCAAACAGCCAGACAGTTACAGAGTGGTGCTGCCACCATGAGGTAAAAAGAGGAATTGCATGTTGAATTTGTATGATTTATCCATTCCGTTTTGACTGTGCTGGCGGGCCATAAATAATGCATTTTAAGACAGAAGGTGCGGGCCGTATAAAATCTGACCTCGGGCCGTGATTGGCATTCCGGATGCCATATAGGGTTGCTGAGGCAAACACCTGTGAAATGTGGAGACAGGACTTTGAACCTCTGTTCTATAACTCATGGTTTCCTCCACTGTAAGTGATAGCTGGCATCACCACACTGGCACATCTGCCGTCACAAGAGGATGGAAATCTTCCAATAGCTTATCCAACAGACAAGATTGACTTAGCTGCCGGAGGCATTTATCAGAGAGGTGCTGAGGTTTCTACCAGATGCTACAAGCAGCTAACTGGTGATGCCACAGATGGGGGAGGACACCGAGTCCCCTCTAGTGATGGAAACAGCAGGGCTTGTAAAGAGGAAGACGGTCTGCTGTCACACCATACCTAACCCACGACCTATTTGAATGGGCAGGAGATGTGTGCAATGTATAATCGGGTGTTAAGATCTGGTGAATTTTCAGTTTGTGGTCTCATCTTGTTCGTAGGTAGAAGGTAAAGGGAATCAGACATGGTTTCGGCAGATCTCGGTGTGCTTAATATGTACAGTGAGAAACGAATACTTTAACGTTTGGGCTGCCAGAGAGGGTTGAAGTGGTGTTTTACTGTCATCCTACCTGACGTTTGTTCTAGTGAACTGTATTATCAAGAGGTTACTGTGTGTGTGCCGTGAAACTGTAATTTAAAATAGTATCAAACAGGTCAGGGACGTGCTGCTGCACTGCTCTGTTTGATTGAAACTTTCAAGTATCTAGTTTTTATAAACGCCCTCAATCAGTGATTTTCCAGCAAGGGTTCGGCCTGTGACAGATTTGAGAAAACTCCTGCTGTGATTGAGGTGAGGCCAGACAACGTCAACCCACAGAGAGACCCTACATTATCCAATACTGATTTGCCCTTTTGAATGGCCAAATGAGTAATTTCAATATATTAATATTCCTAAAAGATTAAGACTGGTTCTGCACATTTGCAGTGGCTTATTAGTGTGAAACAGGAAGATGAATAGTGTGCCTTGGATAACTAGAGTTCTACGTAATTGTTACTTACTCACCGGGACACATAATGTCTTTATATTGCGCTTTCAATGCTTGGCCTGTTGCCAAAACAAAATAGTCTCGATAAATCTTTTTAAAAATATCTTATTGTAGCTTTGAAACTGCACCTACACTTACAACAACCCTCTTGTACTTCAAAAGCCCAAAGCAATATAACAAGAGTACAATGGCAGACTCTTACACACACACACACACACACAGAGGGAGTCAAGAGCCACCTGTGTTGTGACTTTCGCTCAGGACGTCATGTACAGTGGTAGACAGTTTGTCCCAATTCTCACTAATCTCTATGGAGGTGAAGTCAGACTTCAGATGGATTAAGGAGCAACTTCAGCAACAATAATACTCAGCAACCTTTAGATGTTGTTCCACACAAGGTCACCAGGTCTGGATGTGTAGAGCATATAGATCCCTTGGTATGAAAGGGTTCAGTGGAAGCTTGCCAAAGGTGAACTGGTGGTTGCTTGTTGCTTGTACCAGTTCTACAGTATCCTTAAAGTTTAACTGTACCCGCAGGTCAGAGCCTAAATTCACCCACCGCATGATTTTGAAAAGAATGCAAAACCACACCCGCTTGGCTTATGACAAAAGCCTTGACGCAGTGTCGACAAATAAGACAGCCGACACCAAATAGCGATATGTGGCACTGAATTTGATGGATGTGATGTTCATCAGACCACAGATGAGACGACAATTAATTATTCCTGCAGGGCTGCTTTGCTGTTTTTTTCCATTTGTAAGCTATCACTCAAATGGCGGGAAGATGTAAAAATCGGACATTCAAATATTTTTATAGTTCCCTTGGTTTCCTAATTCCCTTGGAAAAATAAATCTTAAAACATTTCTTAGATATGACTTCGTCACTTTGCTCAAGTGAGCTAAAAGTAAGTAGAGAAACCCTGAAGCGTAAAGACATTAGGCCTATACATTATGTTGCTGTACCAAATGCAGTTATTCAGAACAATTTACAGTACAGACCTCACTCTAGACAGGTTTTGGAATTATTTTCTACACAAATGCAAACACCAGTAAAAACAGTTTGGCATGTGTGTTGATTAGATTTGTGTGATCTGTCTTTATGTGTGTGCATGAAAACAAGGATAGATCAAAGCACTAGGTTAGGACTGGTTATTGTCCATGTGGGCTTGCAGGAAGTCTCTGCCTCTAATTACAGGACTACACACACACACACACACACACACACATTCAAACACTGTATTATTTTCCTTTTAATATCTTAGGACAGAGACCCTTTAAAAGGTTTTGTGTTCAGGTTTGTCGAAAACCTATAAAGGCAAGCAAGTATTCTAATATAAACCTACCACTGAGGTTAGATGTGGGCTACTTTAAGTATTAATTGCTTGTTCTCTGAAGCAATAACAAGATTATGTCTGAACAAGTAATTGGCATACAACAGGTGGGCATGTTAACCCCTTCACTTTCCAACCAACCGGCAACTCCTTCAATGGCTCCTCTCTCCCTCGGTCTCTCTCTCTCGCTCCGCTTTACTCGTTTGAAACGAGTTCAAAACAAATGGGTCCAGTCACACTGCAAGCTCTCCATTAAAGAAGGGGTACATTGTTGAATCAGAATAAGGTGTGTTTGGTGCACACAAGTATTAAGATGAAATAAAAATACAGGCAAAGTACTGCAAAAGTTCAGAACAACAAATTTGTAAAATATAAACCTTTTAAATGAGAGAACTGTACAGTTTTGTGCAAAAACTTGTATTGTAATATAACTTGCAGCTTACACAATTACTGCAGTTTGCTTGTAAGTAACCCACTCTCCCGGGTCAGTTGGTGCATCTTTGTTTTGTTTTTCTCTGACAGGGTAAAACGTTGGTAATGTGCTTGGTCTTTAGCAGTGGTGGAAGAAGTAAAAGTAGTAGCATTCTAAACTTTCAAGTAAAAGTATGCCAATATATTATCAGCTACATTTACTAAAAGTATGAAAATTAAAAGTACTCTTTTTCAGTAAATTGTTGCCTGTCAGTGTTTTACCACAGCTATGATGTTTTGGGATTAATATGCTGCATTACCGAATATGTTGCACTTTACTGCTGTAGATGTTTAAGGTTGATCTTATTCTAACTCTTTTGTTGAGTAGTTTCATCTACAGCAATACATCATATTCTATACGGGGATTTAGTTAATTTAGCTTAAGAAGTACATAAAGGAAGACTTCATCCTTCAGTTTATGACAAGCCTTCAAATCAAATCACTACATTTGGACAATATATAATTTTTACTGGACAAGATGGGTAGAGAGTAGCCTACACCATTTCCCTGATGTAGTAGAGTAAGATAGGTCTAAATAACATGGAAATACTTGTAAAGTAAAGGTGGTTACCTCGAATTTGCACTTAAGTAGGCTACACCACTTAAGTAGTTTTAACCACCACTGGTCGTCAATAAGAAGACAACTGAGTTACATGGCCTCATATGTGTATAGGCTAGAACAGCGCAGTAAAATCTGTGTTTTAAAGATACAAAGGCATTCAATATTTCAGAATGAAAATGTGTTTTTCTCGGTAGTAAATGTGAGGACTATAGTATTTTTTGTAGGCCAATGCAATGTGTAATAGGCTGGCTCCCTGCGCGCGCACTCTCGGTGCGCTCTAATTAGTGCGCGCACTCTTGTGTAAAGGTGGAGGCTCGGCTCGTCGCTGCTGCGCCGCTCAGAAGAAACTTGAGCTGTTAAAACTTTGACGAACATCGTTAGATGTCTGCCACATAACCAGACCTATTTAGAGTATATGCTGCTCAAGAACTCTCCCAATGTTTGACGAAGGAGACGAACCCGACAGCGGCGAAAGAGCCCATCTGTCTGAGTCTCCCTCACCGCCTCTGCCTGTCTGTCTTCCCCGAGGATCACCTTCCTCACCGCGGCCCCTGGACCTCTTTTCCTCCGCCTCTCCGCTGCTGGGGGACGCAGACCCGCCTTACCTCGCCACTCCGGAGTGTCTTTACCCGTCTCCAGACAACCAGGAACCCGGGGACTCCCCACATTCCACACCGCCAAAGTTATACCAGAGCATCGGGGACACCGGCTCTCCGTTTCGTTCGTGGCAGGATGTGCGGACAGATGCGCTGTTCGACCGCTGCGATGCCCCGTTCCCCAAGTGGAGAGGACGAGGCGCGGCGAACGCTGACAGCTTTCAGCACCGCGGACAGAGACTCCACCGGGCACCAGAGGGCTCGGACAACGGGGACCGCGGGAACCACTCCGTTGAGCACATCGACACCGGGTTCAACTCCGAAAGCAGGCAAACGTGAGTCATCCTCTTATATTCACCCACAACTTTTGTCCATCCACCCAGAGACATGATGCATAAGTAGAAGTCACCAGTGTCGCGCGGCCTTGTGTAGAGTCCATGTGCTTAAACTCTGCAATTTGCAGTTATGCAATTTGCGTTCATGCAAAGAGGCTGCTGAGCAATAGTTTAGAAATGGCAAAGCTGTTCTGGGTTGAGAGAATTTAATCAACAGTAACTAATCCACCTGGGAAGTCAACAAGTAGAGGTCAGTGTTGGAGAGAGTAGAGTGAAGCAGCAGGATTTTCCCTGAGCCAGTCACCTGTCTATGCAGCTTTGGACCAAAACGCTGTGTTTTAATACATCAATGGGACTGGACTGTGATGTACAATGGATCAGTATTACTAGAGGGTCGTCACATATTTTTCTGTCATTCACTGCATGAATTGCAAACTGATGTTCCTTCTTAAATGGAACATTTGCAGTAGATGTGTTCAATTTGTGTTAATTGAGTCTATAGCTAACTAACTTTGCTGTTATTTTAGCTTAGCTTGTGCTGAAGTGTGTTTGAGTTGGAATGAATGGGTGTGTCTTTGTAGCTTTTCCCTATGTCGTCCTTGTGTTGAGAGAGAGAGCATCTTCATTGGTTCCGGTGCGCAAATGCATAAGCATCAGTCAATGGGGATTGTGCGTGTATGTGTGTGCGTTGTGTGTGTGTGTGTGTGTGTGTGTGTGTGTGTGTGTGTGTGTGTGTGTGAGTAAGAGATAGACAACAGGACAAAACCATGTGACACCGAGCAGACTACAGAAATTGGCTTGCAGAGTACATCCCCACAATGTCACTCGTCACGCACACAAGGACTTGCACAGAAACACTTGCACAGAAACACTTGCACAGAAACACTTGCACAGAAACACTTGGGAACTGTCATTTTTAAAATGCTACAGTGCCCTATATACAGTTAATTATCCCAATTGACCTTATGTTTAAAGCAACATTAGGAAATAATCTGTATTTCTGCAATTAAATAGCCCCTCATGGACAGTTGTACACTTACATTTGTTGACAACCATCTAGTATACTTGTCCGAGAAGTTTATCTTGAAAAGACTTGCATGAATGCGACCACGTGAAATTTTTACTCGCACACACAAAAAATGACCACATGTGCGACCACTTTGATCGCAGACTGGAGACTTGCAACAGTGAGAAGGTCTGCTCGGCCGCTGTCTTGAAGCCTTTTATTTCAAAGCTTTTGCCAACGACTAAATGACAGTCCGAGATCAACTCATGTCCGGTCTCTTCAGTCTCTTTTCCTCTGCCATCATGTCGGTATACGTATTCTCAGTATACGTGTGACGTTGTGCCGTAGAGTTATACGCACTTCTCCCCGGAGATCGTACCCACTCACCAAAAGTACATTGTAAAAAAACAGGAGTTTCATGGAGAATGAAAGAGCCGCCATTCTCCTTTATTACAAGGAGTAATACCAGTGTACCTTCAAAATGATATTGAAGCTGTTATTTTATGGTAAAAGAGTTGCATAATGTTGCTTTAACTACTTTACTATGAGATAAGTGCTCACAAGACCGTTTTGGAGGACACAGTCCATTGCATCCATGCAGGAAACATCCAGAGGCACAGCTGGGACATAAATGGTGACACGTAATGGTTATTCATGTAGCACTGCCAGCTTAGTTATGCCTATCAGATATTGTGAATGGCAGGCCTCAGAGTTGTCTCTTTGATCTTCTCTGGTCTGCACCTTTGATACACCAGTGTTCAACTTAAAAGGCCTTGCGTGTAAAAGAAGCATATGCTCTCCTGGATGCCTGACTCGGCTAAATGTTGGACGCTTGTGTGTGTGTCTCTGTGTGAAGGAGAACGTAAGAGAGGATGAACATGCCTGTTTCTCATTACCAGTGAAATATGGTGAGCAACTCACCTTTGATCTTAAAAATTGGCAATTTACTGCTTGAGAGAGTGTCCATGTGTGTGTTTGATAAAGAGAGAGAGAGCGCTGAGAGTTTAACTCTTGAAGATATTCTGCTCATATTTGTGTACTGATAAAGTTGTAAACTCGTTGGCACATTCTGTAAATATTTCTGCTGAGTCGAAACTTCTTTTTCACTCATTATCCTCAAAATTTGATTTCAACCCTGATTCGTCTTCTGCTCTTCCTTTCTTTTTCTCCAGTTCGCCGGTAAATGACCTACTTGATTGCTTGAACTGAACATAATGTACTTGGTGGCCCAACATTAGAGAGTTTAGCTCGAGCAAAAAGGTTATTCAGATTTCATGACAGAAGAGTTCCCAGTAAGTGACAAATAGTTCATGATATTTATCATTGAATGCACTGTAAGTGTTTAGTACACATTTCCTCTACATTTGTTGTTCTCACATCTCCAACATTGATTTAAAAGCACTTTCTATTTCTATTTTCTATTCTAAAGTGTTACAGATCAAAACTCCCCAAAGCCGCCTAAATGTAACTTTAATGAACAACTATAATGTAACTCAAAAACAAATCGGTTGGATCTACTTTATTATTGGTGGGTTGCCTATATCACTTTACATCAATAATGCTTGCCAATATAATGTAACCCAAATATAGTAGCATTGGTATGAAAGAGCTACAGCTTGGCTGGATATGGGGATTCCTGCAATGGTGTGTTGGAATATAGTCTGAATCACCAGCAGCAGTGGTGCGAGATCATTTCTGTCTTCACTGAGAGTTTTGTTGTTAATAGGAGCGGGTCTCTGAGTGACCTGCAGCAACAAAATGAGAGCTGTGTCGACTCAGTAACAGATTGAATTGGCGCAGTGTTTGGTTTAGGGATTAAAAATGTTGCCATATAATCACATTGCAAGTTACTTCCAACCAGTCCATTAACACTCAATTGAAATGAAAGTTGAAAAGGATTTTTCTTCTGAGGTGTTTTTTGAACCATAGCAGGAATTAGAGGTGACTGAATACTGGACTTCTGCTCAACAGGCAGAAAGAAAGACGTCTGTAATGGTATGGGAGTGTGTACAATATAGGCGTACTTTGTATTAAATGGTTTGTGTACCCCTGTAGCCTGACATCATGTTTGGCTACACCCATGTAGGGAATAACGTCTGGTCGTCTTGGTTGCAACAATGCTAATGTGACAAGGCCTTGAGTGTAAAACACAATATGATGTACAAATAAGCAGACATACATACACAATCCCTTCTTCACTCACTCATCTTTCTTCTAACTCTTAGTCCTCCCCACACACACACACACACACACACACACACACACACACACACACACTTTATATCCATCAATATCCATTATGTCTGCCTCCTCCTGTCTTTGTGACTGTAATTCTGCACAAAAATGATGCAAGTAAATTGTATTTCAGATCAGAGTCACAAACAGTCAGAGATGGATGGAGAGGAGGTTAGAGAGGGATGGAAAATGGCGATTCATTACCTGACTATAAGGTTATCTAAATGGGCTGGCAGCCAGACTGTCCCCTCATGTATAAGGAATATTACCAATGCTTACAAATACATCTGTGGATGTGTGTGTGTGTGGTGGGGGTTAAGGGAGATATTGGGTACAACCTACAGCATAATGCATTGTAATAAATCATGACAAACAATGGCCCTAACAAACAAAAACCTTTTAAAACCTTTTAAGCTTCATAAAGGAAGTGTTCACGACATGCTTTTTGTGTTTATTTGCATCACAATTTACAGATGATGCATGTTGTGTCCACTTTCTGTATGTTTGTCCATGGATGCACCTTATGTGTGTGATAGTCAATTGTGTGTGTGTGTGTGTGTGTGTGTGTRTGTGTGTGTGTGTGTGTGTGTGTGAGAGAAAGAGAGATGGATTTTTGTCATCTTGATTGGCAGCCTGAGGCATAAACCGCTGATTGCSTAAAACAAAAATCAAAATCTGCAGAACTTTTATMCCCTTTTATCGCACACTGACTAACACTGTCTCCCTCTYTCTGTCTCTCTTACTCACTCACTCTCTCACTCTCTCTCTCACTCTCTCTCACACACACACACACACACACACGCGCCCACCCTCTCCCACAGTGATTTGCCTTGCTGAGCTCTCTTCATCTCCTCAGTTCCACATCCTTTAACGCCCCCAGGGAATGTTTCCACCACGAACAGATTTCCATTTTCACCTTTTCCTTCAATGTCCAGCCTTCTGTGTACACACACACACACACACACACACACACACACACACCAACGCAAACACACACACAAATAGCCTGAATTACAAACAGGTCTTAGTTATGCTATTCAAGTTTTTCAGGTTGGCAAGATTCCTTTTAGTTCACTCAACAAGAATTGTTTCAATTGTCATATTAGCGTTTTATAAATTCAATCTCAAGTCTAAATGAGTTATTTCACACTGGAGAACCAAATTATTCTGGATAATCATTTTCCACCAACAACACTAGTATTCCCATTCCCACTTTTTATTTCAAAGCGTACCCATATCCAGTATCTCCTCCACGCACTGTTACTCAGTCTTTCTCCCTCTCATTTCTCCAGCTTTGGGATACATCAAGGCTTTTTTTTTTCACTATTTGGGTCAGAGTGTCAGGCCACACAGCAGATGCAGATGTTGTGGCCGATCAATGTGTCTCTAAAATACATATGGGGGAGTACAATAGTCCCAGTGAAATGTGTTTTTCAGTACAAAGTGCACTGTGATTACCAGTGGTTCTGTTTGTGCAAAGTACAGCTAGTCATATTTGACAAGTCCCTTTTGATGAAGAATATTTTTTACCCTCTCTGTCCTGTTGGGATCTGACAGTGTGTCACTGGAAATGGGGCTCCATGTCGAAAGAAAAACAAATAAAGACATTTTGATCAATGTACATGTTCATGCCTGTGTGCACGCATGTGTTGATAATGACAGATTCGCCACTGGCCAAAGAGTCTCTTTGGAACGACCATCACTCACTGGTAGTGTGAGTTTGTCATGCCAGAGCCAATTAAGGTGACGGCTTCATCTCTCTCTTACCAATCAGAGCTATTGACCTGAGATGGCCCCACAGTAAGCTTTGACCCTGGAAGCAGTTCATTGATTTGACCGGAGACAGATACATCACAGATGGATTGGCTTTCTCTGGGGTCAGGGGAGAAGTCTGTGTTAAGCACTGCTGATCATGTTTGACCAGTTCCTGTCCACGGAGGATATCCACATAGGGAGACAGTAATGAGTTTGTTTGCCCCGTTACACCATTGTCCATTTGATGTGACTAATGATTCTGTCGTTTCCTCTTGCCGCCATCATTTGCTCTCTTGCTCTCCTCTGTTCTTTCCTTCGTCAATACTTCATCACTCATTCCACTGATTCGTTCTTTGTCTCCTACCTCAATTTTCATCATTGTCATCCTTGTTCTTTTTATTTTCCCCACTGTTTGCTCTCCACTTTACTGTCCCCAGGGTGGAGGCCATGCATCGCCGGCACACCACATTGAGAGAAAAGGGGCGTCGCCAGGCAGTGCGGGGCCCAGCCTACATGTTCAATGAACGTGGCTCGGCCCTCACTGCAGAGGAGGAGCGTTTCCTGGATGCTGCCGAATACGGAAACATTCCTGTGGTCCGCAAAATGCTGGAAGAGTCCAAAACCCTTAACTTCAATTGTGTAGACTACATGGGCCAGAATTCTTTGCAGCTGGCAGTGGGCAATGAGCACCTAGAAGTGACTGAGCTGCTTCTAAAAAAGGATGGTTTGGCGAGGATCGGTGACGGCCTGCTTTTGGCTATCTCCAAGGGTTATGTCCGAATCGTTGAAGCCATTCTCGCCCACCCTGCTTTTGGAGGAGGTCTCCGACTTGCTTTGAGCCCTCTGGAGCAGGAGATGCGTGATGATGACTTCTACGCTTACGACGAGGACGGAACACGTTTTTCACATGATGTCACGCCCATCATCCTGGCTTCTCACTGCCTGGAGTATGAGATCGTCCACATCCTTTTGACGAAGGGGGCCCGCATTGAAAGGCCTCACGACTACTTCTGTCAGTGTTTCGAATGCATGGAGAAACAGAAGCAAGACGCGTTCAGTCACTCACGCTCCAGGATGAATGCATACAAAGGCCTGGCCAGTGCATCTTACCTGTCACTCAGCAGTGAAGACCCTGTGCTGACCGCCCTCGAGCTCAGCAATGAACTGGCAAGACTGGCCAACATCGAGACCGAGTTTAAGGTAAGGTGGTTTCTATTTTCTCAACATCTTTGCCGATACATTTTCTATCCCCGTGCTTTTTTAAATGCCCAAAACTTCACAAACGTATTATTCCATATGGGGGCCACGGGTTGACCGAAGATTTGGCAGAGTAGCGTAGGGGAGGAAGGTGAAAAAGAGGGATGCTCTTCTTCAGAAGACACACACACAATACATACAGTGCTTTGCTCAAACACTAACAAGATTAAGGAACTTATTGTCAACAATAGGGGTGGTACAACAAATGTGTCAGCCAATTACAATTGAGAGCCAAGCTGTAGAGATGGTAGGTTTAGTTAAAGAACACTCAGAGCACATTTTTAGGGCTGACCGATAGAAAAATAATCATTATTACTTTATGAATAAGAAAAGTTTCTGTTATCAATGTGGCAAAATGGCAAATAAATGCAAAAACACAAATATGAAATTGATGTGGGGTTGTAATATGTATGGGTGGTTAAATCATACACTGCACATTGTGGCTGCAAAGTTTCAAACCTCCCTGCATTTGATATTATTGTATTATTACAGTATAAAGAAATTAAATAATCAAACTGATTTTTAAAGCCATGCTTCACAAGGAACAAAAATAAAACAAAATTTGAATAACTATTCCTATTGTAAGTTCTTAACTACAACATGCTCAAAATCATTTTTTTTTTTATCTAACATTTGTCAGCTAAAGCAAGGAAAGAAAATGTGAAAGACTTTTGTAAGACATTTTGTGAGCAATAGAGTCTCATGTGGACGTCGAGATCATTAATGTAGAAAGCAGGATCATCTAATTGAACCGATCAGAGAACAATAGCCTAATGACATAACAATTCATTTTTTCCTTAATTTGTCCCCCTTTGTTCGCTCATGTGCTACTGCATTTCTTTCCTCCGCTCTTTGCATATTTTTGATTGTCCTCTTTCATCCATTCCTCAATGTTTTCTGCCCACCTTTGTAATTGTCAGTCAGCCTTTCTGCTCGTCATTCTGTTCCCTGTCTCCAGACAAACTAATGAGAAGGGCTCACCTGTGGGACCACATGAGCTCCAACACATTGTTGGAGCTCATCTGCCTCATTAACATCTCATTATCACCCCTTGTCTTCTCTCTTTATTTGTCTCCTGGCTGTTCTTCACATCATCTTCTCATAACGTTAAAATATCAAATAATTGAAGAGAGAGTGCCAATAGCCCGAGACAGCCCTGTTTCATAAGGAGAAATCAAAGTAGGACATAGATCACATTTTCTCAATTATTGTCAAAACAATGTTTGCTTATTGTTTTCTGGGTTTGACGGTATAGTTTGTGAATGAAACATTATTTACCGGCCAACTCTCAACTTTAGAGGTTCTCTATACAGAATTCAGAGCATATCTATTGCCTTCACACGGCGCTCAATGTGGAGCCGGCTAACAGTGCAAACAGCACGGACAGAGCTAACGGTGTTTACCTGAGGGGGTACCGGACCGGAGTGAGCGCTACGTTTCTGCGATGACACCGTTGGTCTGGACGGTGTCATCAGCTGCAACCGCCGTATGAGTGCAGTGCAGAGAGGTGGCCATGAGCCAGCCAATGGGGCACAACACAGAGACCCACATGCAGGGACAGGCGGACGGCCTGGCAACCTCAACAAAACACGGAGAAACTCGGATTACAACTCACATAGACTTCATTCTCTGCTCAGGAAGACATTACTCCACTATATCTTTACATTGCAATTAGTTGTTTGCTTCTATATAAATGCTCTGAATCCAGAATCCTTTAGAAGTTGGAGAGCTTCACAAGGACATGAATGCATGATACACGGTCAGCCACACATACCTATGGTCTTCTGTTGTTATTGATTTAAATTTTTCTTTCGTGGGTTGTGCCTCCAGATGTACCTAAGAATAAGATGAGAGCATGAAGTACTTCCTCCAGGAATACTGTTATGCTTCGTGTCCCATGTTCCCATAGACGTATGAGCAGCCTGGCTCTGAGAATGGCAGTGGCATCAGTCCATTCTGTCGGGTCAACCCTTTGGACAGATTATCATTAAATTTGGGACAGAATTCCCTGCCCCTTCAAATTAATGAACAACCTCTGCCTCCACTGTATTTTGAGATTAGTGCAATAAAGCATACTAACATGCTAACACAGTAAAAGTTCTTTGTTTAATGTTAACATGCCAAATGTATATGTATAGAATCAGAATGCAGCATGGGACAGAGCTTTTGTATCCACTTAGAGAGAAAGAAATGTATGTACAGTACACACAGTCAAGTGCAAGCAAACACTAACACCACTTTCTCACCCACACTCGCAAAAGTCAAAGTGCAGAGAGTAGTGATAGTGTTTCATGTTGGAGGCTTATGTGGAGAGTGGGGACTGCTTAAGGCATATCAGGACCTCCTGATAAAATTAAATAACCAGCCTAACATTTATCTTAAAGCATCTTCATTTTCTTGACAGCCCATCAATTTCTCATAAAAGCCTCTGGACACACACACACACACACACACACACACACACACACTTACATACCCTTGGGAGAGACAGAGAGAGGCGGAGAAGGGTGTTATTTCATTTTGTACATCACATTTCACTCTGTTCTTGCGTCATAGATATTTTAGTTTAATTTAGTTTAAATTAAGACACACGGCCACAGAGAAAGTGAAAAACAGCTATACTGGTGGTGAATGTCCACTGAAGTGCAGTAATACAAACTCTTTCTATCTCTCTCTTCTTCTCATCCCTCCATCTTACATCTTCCTCTCTCTCTCTCCCCATGTTTGAGGCTTGGCTCATGTCCCTCCCAGTTCCCTCATCTGTAACCATTCTCACTCTTTTCACACTGCTCAGTCTCCATTTTCAATCTCACAATCATCCCCCTTCCTTTATCTCAGCCCCCCAAGGCACGAAGCACATACCCTGAATTGTGATTGGATTTTCACATATGCTGCATGTGTGTGTTGTATGTGCATGTCTGTTCTTGATGTATGTCCTATGATTAAGAAAACATTCTTGTACATGCACTACCCTGACGCTCTCCTTTCCCTGAATGTAAACAGTCATGTGATTGTTATTGATGTTTTTCACTTAGCAGCCTAAAGCTGACACACACCAAACGCCTCCTTCTCCTCCAAGTCCCCCAAAGGGCCAATGGATGCTTGATGTCCATAATTTACTTTTTCATTTGCTGATAGTGATGAGCCTTTTGACCAACCTTATCTAACATGCAGCTTTCCAAGCCTAAAGGGCCAGATTTTAAAATGCATGACATATATTGCAGCTGTTTGGTTTTTAAGATTACGAACACACTGTGACTTCACTAAACTGATTGCACCATTTTATATTCAAGAGAGATACTGTTCAAGTCATACTCGAATGAAACTCCCTCAATAAAAGGGTCAAACACTGGAGGAATGCAAATGATGTCCAAGGTCAGTAGGTGCACCAAATGCAGTACATATTTTGGTACTTTTATTTTGTAGCCCGTCTAAATGTACATATAAATAGTTATAATCTTCTTATGGCGCTGTATAATATTAGTTATAAGCACTTAAATATCCATGACCACTGAGAATAACTTATTATAGCACTAGCATGCTTTATAACAGTAATTATAATGCATTGTAAAAAGATTATAATGTATTCCAACTATGGGAATTATAATGCACAATGATCCTATCAAATCAGTGAATGACTAACAATTATGAAGATTTATTATACTTTACTTTAGAAGTCATCATAAAATGCTTCATAAAGTGCTATGATTATTGTCATAAAGCATTATGTATATTTATGAAGGCTTATAACATAAACATAATATATTGAGCTATAAGGTGATTATAACGCATAAGTGTGTTTATAAAGCATTATAGACATGGGCGTCGACTGCTTTGGGCGGGCGGATAGGCTGCCGAAGGCCCAATAAAAGTCCCCTGTTATTTCGTTTTTTCAGAGCTTTTATTATGAAGTGGCAAATTAGGAAAGTTTGGGTTTTCATCAGCAGTAACTTAACAACAATGTCTTTACAGATTAGTAGAAGCAGATATCTGAAAGAATAAACAAGGACGCAGGAGAGAAACTAAACCACAGAGATTCAGTTCCGAAAAGTCTTCATCTGGTCTCCTGCACAGACACGAGTTGAGTCTCGCTCGCAACACACAGTTGTTTGAAGGGGGTGGGGGGTGGGGTGCTGGATGCACGGGCTGGCCGTGGTCTGCAAGATATCACTGCAACTTGCTTATAGACGAGTCGGTTGCGCTTTGGCCCGACTCTGGAGGTTGGTCCCTCTCGGGCACGACTCAGTGCTCTAAAACTGGTAATTGGAACGGAGATCAACGCGGCATGGTTTGACTCTGAGAGGCCAAGAGTGCCAATGGAAGTCTGTGTGTTTGTGTGTACAAAACCCTGCTATCTGGGAACGCAGTAAAGACTCTCACACTGAGCTGAAATGAAACGAGTGCTCAGAAACTAGGTGGGTAAAATATTTTGTTTGTTTGTTTCAGGATAGGCGGGTAGGGGAAACACTGGCATCATAGAAAGTGTTGCCCTTACTATGCATACATACTTTATCATACCTCCCCAAAACTGGTAATTTCCCACCTTGTATAATTGATTGCTGATTTGATGACTGACTGCGGAGACCTGGGTGAAAGTCTGTATAAAACGGGGCATTATCTATACACTTTAGTGGTATCTCTGAACACAGAACAAACACGGCAGTGAAGGCATAATGAGATTCAGTCCTTGAGGACTTTAGAAGCTTCAGTCTGCTGACTGCTTATCTGCTCGGCCAAATGCTGAGGAACAGAACACGCCAGGAGGGCGAAGGGAGGTTGTGTAAGAAAGAAGGGTGAGAAGTGAACTGTGCAGGCGAAGACAGAGGAGCAAACAGTTGAAGCTGGAACAATTAATGAAGGATTAGCAGGAGAGAGGGTTGAAAGGCCTGACAAGGATGGTGAATTGTAGTAAAGTGGGCAAAGTAAATCAGCACTTGGAGCAATTCCCAACACTTGGATGAGGAAGTATACGTCACGAAAGATAATATTTTGTATCTGGTGCCATCAAGTTGTTATGTTGTGTGCACAAAGGGGGCTACGAACGATTGAGGTGCTTAATAACTTGTGGAGTAGGCCTTCAGTATTAGCTCCACTCCAGCAAAAATGTCAACAAAAAGGTTTAAAGAATCAAAAATAGTAATGTTTCTATTTAACTGATAAAAAAACTGAAAGAAAACACACACCCAAGTGCTGGTATGCAAGCACTCAATTTTAGTTCAATTTATTTTGTTCAGCCCAAAATCATAAATCACAAATTTTCCTCAGAGGGCTTTACAATCTGTACAACATACGACATCCTCTTTCCCAGGATCCTCGCATCACAAATAAAGATAAGAGAATGGAAACCCACACACTTAACACTGATCCATTTGTTTTCAGCATAGAAAGATTCAAGTTTTGTTGTTCATAACGTCAAACTTTTGGTCATTTGATTTGGGCTTGTTGTTTCCTTGTGTTCTTGATAGTGTGGACGGGTTAGGCCTTTGTAGAGCCTCGTGTTGATGAACACCTGTCCTAGTGAGTGTAAATGCCAGTTAGGTGACTGATTATCCTGAAGAAGGCTGTTTGCACAAACATTATTTTTGAAAATGTTGGCAATTTATTTACTTTTTGGGCTTTCAGATGGAGTAGTTACCTCACAATATTTTTAATCTTATTTAAATTACAACCATTACCATTCATTCTTTACATGCAAATTCAAACTGTGCATACAATCAGCAGGATGGCAGTGCATTTAAAGTGAGCATTTAAAATGATCATAACAAAAGCAGAGTGGATCCCTTATTTTAGCTTTTGTGGGGTTTAAGTGCATTCTGTTGCACACGTGACTGCTGTTTCTGATAATGTATGAAATGTGATGATGAGGTTACCGTGAGATGATAATTTTACACTATGATGTTTTGTTTTTATCAAACTGACAAATTTGTTGACTACTAAGATAAAGCAAGTCAAGTCGACTCCCTCATTCATCGAATCCACCTCTCTGCTTTTGACATCAGGTCAAAAATACACCAAACTGCTGAACATGAACCAAATCACAATATCAATTCAGTTTTTTACAATCAAGCCATATTATAATTGCAAATGATAATGAATGTCTCTATGACGTTGGCATATCTCAAGTCATTAACCCCAAAAAAGGTGTCCAAGCACCAACAGGTGAGGACCCACGGACAGCGGACACAAAAGGCAGGAGAAGCGGTTTCAAGCCTTAAGTAGATGGTCAAGAGATGTCTACATTTGAAGAATACTGCGTTGTCTGTAACCTATTGTTGAAATAATTTACTTGTTTGAAGTCAGTTTAAAGCCAAGTTTCTCTTTAATTCTGTCTTTTATTCCTTCTTTTCTCTCTCCCTGCCAGAATGAATACCGTAAGCTGTCCATGCAGTGTAAGGACTTTGTGGTGGGTGTGTTGGACCTTTGTCGGAACACAGAGGAAGTGGAGGCCATACTGAATGGTGACGTGGACCAGTGCCCTCCAAGCGCCTACAACCGACCCTGTCTCAGCCGTGTCATCCTGGCCATTAAGTACGAGGTCAAGAAGGTAAGATGACCGAAAATTACCCGATGGACCAATTAAACCAAACTCGTGGTAGTGTCAGTTGCACTTAACATAATGTTGGGTAAAACATTTCAGAGGACCAACTTGCCAAATAAGTGAGAAAAAAAACGATACTAAACTGAAATATGACAAACAATGGAGAAAAAATGAACTGGGCTTTAACTGTATGTGTAATGCCACTGTCAGCTGTAATGATCATGAATATGCCTCTTACCCTCACCCATCACGGACTGCCAAAGAAAGAATTGGGCTTGTAAGACACACATTAAAAACAGAAATACCAATCCAAAACACTAGATCCTACATCTCCCCATAATGCAGCTTGATAATATTTCTAGGACACTCCCAGCCTGATGAATACACAGGTCTTTCAAACTCCTTGCTCCTAGATTGTAACACAGGCTGTCTGTTATAAATGTGCGTGTGTGTGTATTTTTATATATATGATTTATTTTTAGAGACAATGTACATTAATCAACATTCAAACAAATGTAAGTTAGCTGAAAGGCTAGTTTACATCAGCAGTCCCTTTACCTGCATCCAATAAAAATAAAAATAATACAATATTTACAGTAGTTAATAAAATACTACATTGTGGTAAAAAGCATACAGTTAAACAACATGAGTGGACAAAATCTAAATACAAGTAAAGTATTAGTACAGAAATACAAATCTTCACATAAATGAATGATATGATGGCGCTTTCTAATTGATTGTGGTACTGAATTCCATAGATGTGATGCTGTGAAGGAAAAGGCAGTTTTGGGGTTGTGCAGTCCTCCTTTGCTGCTCTGCTTGCGGTAGATTTGAAGTAGATGAAATCAGACAGAGGAGGAGGAGCTCAATCATGCTAGATCTTATAAACTAGGCAGACATGTTTGTGTGTGATGAGGTTTTACCAGCTAAGGAGATTTCATGTGTTTATACTACTGTCTTCAAGTTCAGGCAAGCCGAGATAACCCTGATGATATCGCTGTGATATAATGGGTTATTTTTTTCAGATTGGCAACCTCCTCCAAAGCCACAAATACATTATAGGACACTTTTCACAAGCTGAGTACTTGTAATACAAGGAAAGTATTCTGATCAGAATATTCTCACAGGTTTTGAAATGCATTGACAAACTAACTATTTTAAATATATCAAATATTTTGTTGATTTGATATGAGGACTTGTTGGCAGAACATATCAAACCTACCAAGAGTCCTTGAGCAAGGTTCTTTGCAGGTACTGTAGCTCACGGTTCCTATAAAGGAAGACCTCATACTGTAGGTGCATGGATGAATATAGAATCACATCATTTGTTTTGTAAAGATTAGGGTGTGTGCTGTACATGTTGTGAGTGTGTGTGAAACTAAGAACCCTTTTTATTGTCATAAAAAGGGTACACGAAACACATACACGAAATTTGACCCATCCCTGTATATAGGGAGCAGTGGGCTGCCAATGACAGGCGCCCAGGAGCCGGGGGTTCAGTGTCTTGCTCAGGTACACTTCGACACGTGGCACGTCCCAGTCGAGGATCGAACCGTTGACCCTGCGGTTACCAGACAACCCTCTTAAGCCAGTGAACCACGGTCGCCCCCGTTTAGCTAGAGTCTATGAGCCTTTTTGTGCACATACAGTACGTTTGTTTATTTACTGTACTTGTAGCTGCAGAGGGCCCCATGTAAAGAACAAACTGGCCTCTATTTCAAAGAGCCAATCCCTGCTTAGCAGAAATGTCAAACCAAATGCCTTTTCCGCATTTCTCCCAACCATACTTGCTCTCTCTGTCTCACACACACACACACACACACACACACACACACACACACACACACACACACACACAGAGGCTGTTTGACCTTAAATGTGCTGCATGTAATTGCAAGTGTGTGTGTGTGTGTGTGTGTGTGTGTGTGTGTGTGGCAGAACACAGCCTGTTCGAGCTGTGTTATTCATCCTGTACAGGAGAGCGTGACCAATACTCAGGGAGCTAATTACACGGAGAGAGGGATTGCCATGGCAACCAGGTGAAGTCCAACTGTGTGTGTAGTGCATGTAAATTGCCGGACACCGGTGGGAAACTATATTAACTACGATTTAGTGTGCAGGGGGAGTTTAATGTCTGTGTGTGTGTGGTTTCCCTCTGAATGTAGAAACGATTGAGTGCGCACGCGCACATCGTATGTGTGTGCGTTTCCATCGGCAGATGGGAGCTGAGGATGTCAGTCGTCAGCTCAGATAAATGTTCTGTGAATGTGATGGCCGATGCTGATTGTTGAAGAGGTGGGACGGATTGATGGAGGGGGAAAACACGAGAGGCTAACGACAATCAAGGGAGAGCAGGTGTGACCAGACGTAATCTGTTGCTCAGATCTTACCCTAAAAACAGTGCTAGAGTTTGATTGTTACACTCGTCAACCTCCTACTGAGCATCGATTGCTCCACATCCATCCTCCAGCTGCAACAAAAACATCCATCTCCTGCTTCCTCAGAAGACCAGTGGAGGCTTTCATTTATCTCTATTCCTTTCTTGGAGTGAAGTCGGCAACAGATGCTAAAATGCCAGACCAAGCCTTATCTAATAAAGCAAACATGCTTCAGTAATTAGTATAAACACCCACTGCCTCTTATTTGCTGCCTGCTTTCTTTTTGCGTATAGTAAATTGATTTCACAACGTTGTTGACATTTTCATTCGAAATGAAGCCAAGTGGCAGCCGCGAATACAAACATGTAGTGAGTAATATATTTTGATTATAATGAATGCACAATAGGTGTGCCCCTAATTGAAAAGCAGCCGACGCTCAGGTACTTTGGAATTACTTGACCACCAGAAGCCCTCCTCATGAATAAAGTATATTTTTCAACCTTATTAATTTTCTAAAGCCTGGCAAATAGGCTACATTCATCCTTTTGTGACCACTGGGCCGTATCAGTGGAGCATTGGACTGGCATGGTTTTTGCTCAATGTGCTGCTGCTGTAAAGACTTTACAAACCCCTGAAGCGATCTGTTAAAAAATCTGAAAAATTTGTATTGCATCTCTGACAATGGTTGTTGGCTAATTGCTCTCCTCTTCCTCTCTCTTTCCTTGCACTGTATCCTTATCTCCTCTCCCTTTATTCCCCGCTGATTTCAATTTCTTGTCTCTGTTCTCTCTCTTCAGTTCGTTGCCCATCCTAACTGTCAGCAGCAGCTTCTGACTATCTGGTACGAGAACCTGCCCGGTCTGAGGCAGCAGTCTGTCGGGGTGAAGTGCTGGACAGTGCTGGGGGTCGCCGTAGGTCTGCCCTTCCTGGCTGTTGCCTACTGGATAATGCCATGTAGCAAGGTATGAGCACGTATGCTCTTGAGTAACGCAGACACACAAAAAGTATATTTGTGCCATTTACAAGCACCTATTTTCCTAACACTCTGTATTACAGTGCATGGCTGTAGCAACAATACTGAAAGTCTATAGCCCAAAAATAGACCTAGACAGTTGAAAGGCTCATTAAACACAAGACAACTAAGTAGTTTGATTGATGAAAAATATTTGATCCTTTGGGCAAAAAACAGTCAAGTTTGGCCTGAGGGTTAGACAAGGCCGAGTTGTTAACTAAATCAGGATTATACTCATCTCAGGCTTTATTTGAACAGATATGGCTCAACTTCCATTATTCTAAGCTGTCATCCTCAGCTGCACAATGCTAAATGCTAACAGTCTATTACAGTCCTGTTACAGAGCCTATAAACATGCTAACATTAGCAATGCTGTAATGACAACAACTACAGGCTAAAAGGTTACTCCATCTAAAATCGACTGTATCTTTGAGTCAAATATTTTTTTACTGTAGACGTAAAAGGTGGCTTGTTGTTTTCTCTTTTCATGCAACAATTGTAGTAAGCTTGGACTCACCTCAATTACGAAATGACGAGCCTGACTGAAAACATACTGATTTCCGATTTAAAAATCACCATTTGATTTCATGGCCCTGAGGCACTTTATCACATTTTGTTAATACTCCATCAAGTAAATTATAATCTGTAAAGTGACACACAGAGACTTGCACACAGGCACTGCATGAGTGGTTATGCAAATCTGCTCATTAACCTGGATAATCCTTTACCTCATGAAGTGGTTGTGTGTCGAGTGTTTGTGTGTCAAGTGTTTGTGTGTCGAGTGTTTGTGTGTCAAGTGTTTGTGTGCGTGCTAAGGTAGATTCAGAAACAGTGTTGAGGACCTTTGAATAGTTCTTGTTTAGTAAGATTCATGAATTAGTCATTTTGTAGACTAACAGAGAGACAGAGAGCAGTTGAGGTCAAGTGTGCGGAAGGATGGAGACCAGTAATGCTGAGAGCGTCTCCACGACCGAGACATGGATTCAATCATGAGACACTAGCTGCTCCTGATCACTGTGTCACGAAAACCACTGTCTGTTGTGTGTGCATGTGAGTATATTTGATTATAAATCAACCAACCAACCGAGCGTGTGTGTCACAGTCTGCTACTTTGTGACGCAGCAGAGAGAGCAGGAAGAAGATAGATGCGTGGATGAATAACAGATTAATATATGGTGCTTTCACCTTGTAACTTTGTATTATTGTTGTTATTATTAATATTATTAATTATCATTCTTATTATTGTTATTAGTAGTAGTAGTAGTCGTATTAAATACTTGATTAAGTCCAGCTAAATGTTGAAAATAGATATCTGAGATGTTGAGAAAGCAAAATTACAGACGGTGGGGTAATAAAAAAACAATTAAATGAAATGAATAACTGAGAGAAAAAATGAATGTGTATGCATGCTTATTTACAATGTGACAGCAGTTAAACAGAGACACAAAGATATATTAAATGATTGTGATAATGACATGGATGAAGACAGTCCCAGGTTGCAAAGAGAAGGCTTTGATGTGTTTTGGTTGATTGTGTTTAGTGTGCCCTCCACTAATCATGTCATTGCTGATGTCTTACAGCTCATAATATTCTCTATTTTTACGGCACCACAACGCCATTTCCCAAAACCATATTATCTTTAATTTCAGTGGAGAGAGATGAAGAAGATAATCATATGTTTGTTGTTCAAAGATGAGTCGTAAAGCATCGAAGGTAGACAGAGAAAACACAGATGTAATTGCTTTAGAAATCTCTTTTTAAAAACATATGAGATATGCTTTAGAGGTGATGGAAAACCGATGTGTATTTTGATATTGAACGTTTCTCGTTGATTGAAAAGGGTGAAAAATGGGGAAAACATGCGGAGCGTGATGGGACAAGTATTGAAAGATGCCCACAAGAACACTCCAGCCCTCACTGAGTGACAGAAAAGAGATGAAACATGGACTATGTGTGAAACAAAGCGACTGATAAAAAATTGCCTACGAGGCTGTCAGGCTTCCCTCCTCCTAGAACAAGCATCATGCATTTGTCAGATTATACATTTATACTGCTTCAGCTTGTATCATTGTATTATTGGTAAGGTAAATGGTGGTAAGTTACTATATATTTAGTAGTGCAAGTTTGAGATACATGTATACTAGTACTTTGCAGATTAAATGCCCTGCACACCCACACAGGTGTTATCAATTACTCTGGCTGAGTAGACCTCGAGTCTGGTTGAAGCTGGGTGAAGCTGTGCTGGGAAATACGTGATTTAATCAAACTCTATGCGTCAAGAATGATGGTTGGAAAGTTGCCCCGCCCTAACAGGTCAACGTATCGTCATATAAAAGGTTCTTATGATAATTACAGCTCACTTATTTTTGTAGGTATAGCTACAAACACTACATGAGAACAGCGTGGGTGTGTGGGTTTACTTACAAGTCATGATATCTATGGTACTACTTATAGAATCTAACACATTACTATTGATTAAACATCTGCTCCATCTTTTCCAGCTGCAACAATATAACGCTGCTTATACTTACATGTATGAGTAGTAACGACCGATAACTTATCTTAATGTAACACTTACAGGGTAGACTCTGCCTGACTAGTATCAATGCAGATACAGAGTGAGATGTTGCAGACAGTGTGTGAGACAACTTTACTAAATACTAATAAATACTAAACTCGTAATATAGACATTATAGGCAATGTTCTAATTTTGAGACGCACTAGCTCTTTATAATTATACCAGCCATTGCAATCAATTTGACAATGATACAGTGACATTTATAAATGCCACATGTTGCTCTGACACCATATTAGCGAATAATTTTCTTTATTAACTGAACCCCTATTTGTATTGTGTCCGCACTGCAAGAACTAGGAACCATCGACGTTCTTTGAACGCTGTTTTAAGGGACTTTTTTTTAGCTCTTAACTCTCCCAGCACAAGAGGACCATAAGTGACGTAAGTGTACGGTGATTGGTTGAGCACATGAGCCAATGTAGCACGAGAGCTAACACACCCACTGAGCGATAGAACAATTCGCAACAGGTTCTTTTTTGAAGGCTTTTTTGCTTTGGTTTATATGATCATGGCACTTAACAAAGTTGTTTATTTATTAATATACTACAAATAATGCCAAGACAACTTGTTGCAAACTTGCCGCCTGCTGATCTCCCAGCTGGAGATGTGAGCGAGCGGTGCCTTACATCACAAATAGAAAAAAAGCCCTTGAAGGTATGTAGGTCTCTGGGGAGCTCCCCACTGGCCAGTTCCTCTCCCAGTCCCCAGAACTGTTGGTGGTTGGCTTGTTTGAAAAACGCCAAATGAGAACACATACTCTATCATGTGCATGGGAATGTCCCCCTTAATCATAAAGTGCACATCCAATATATGTGCAGTATGACAGAAGGTCCTTGCTCATATTTAGATAATATTTAGTCAGAGAGGATGCCTGTCTACACACGTCAGGCTTGCTTCTCCCATGGGGAAATATGTTAGTGAATAATAAAGGACACAGCAGCTCCAATCTAGTAAACCTCTTTCTTTTAGTCTGCGTGCGCCTGCTGCTAGTGGCCACCATTTCTTTGTTCTGTGGAGCAGAGAAGATCAGCGCTTGTCATCATCACACTGATAAGAAAAGAAACCCATGGGGTTTGTAGGCCTCACACAGCAGTAGCCCTGATCTAGGATGACCATCTCATTTAAGCTGAGGGGTGAAATGGATCAGCCTTATCAGCACAGAGGCAGAGCCGTCCCAGTGGCAGGAGGAGGTTTAGAGGAGCTTTGGCAGGGTTAAGTTTCACCAGACAACCTCTCCCCACATGGTTTAGTTGTGTGTGTGTGCCATGGGAACAGTTTGATATTGAATTTGATATGTCACTGCGCATGCAGAGAGCAGAGATAGCCTGTGGGTAGTTAATATTGAACACAGCAGTGGCAAATGTTGCCATCTCAAGTGTGTGTGTGTGTGTGTGTGTGTGTGTGTGTGTGTGTGTGTGTCGTGCATTTGTGTCTTGGCATATTTTTGTGGTGGCATGTTTAATGTTCCTTGTGCAGCACCACCTTGCATTACGTTCTTCCCATATGGTGCATTTTCATAGTCTCTGCTGATTGTTTGGCGTCTAGTTACTCTGGCATTATATTCCACAGTCATGAATTACAACAGCTGCCGTTTGCCTGCTAAAATGGTTGTTTAGTCATGCTGTTTAGTTATTGATCTCTGAGGGACAAAATCTGAGGAACTCTGCAATAAAGCGTGAACACTGATTAGCTCAGTTAATAAAAAACGATGTTTTGTTTGGCTGCAATTTTTTCACTGTTCAAAGAAAATACCAGTCAAACGGGTATCAATAGTCTGATTCCCTGACACAAAAACTATGTTTGCAAGTTGTTGTATTGGCAAACACAAATGAACAAAATCTTTATACTAATATGACAAGTAAAAATGTTGTGTGTTGTCATTGCACTTTGCAGTGAGATGTAAGGGCTTTGACATCACCTTAAAAATACCAATTGTAGTGCTATTGTTTTCCTTTTTATAAGTGGCTCCCCACACATTGCTGCCAACGGTTTCACATTATTCCAATGATCTACAGGTGGTGTTAATGCCCAGGAAACAGAGCAATGAGCACGCAATGGCAGGAAAGAAGAAGACTACTAGCCAGGAAAACATGGATGTTTACGATGCAGGATTCAAAATGTGTTTTTTTTTTTTTTTTTTATCAGCTTTGCAAATGATTTATGAGAAAGGAAATGCATTTAACACATATGTCAGAGCTCAATTATTCATACAGTGTGATTAAAAACAACATGTGTCCAAAAGACAGACAGACAAAGTGAGCAATTATCTGGTTGCCAGGGTGGATCTTTTTTTTAGGAGTTTGTTGAGACGAAACACATTTAGAATGCAAATGTTGCTCCATGTCCTTGAATCTTTTACATAGGAAACGTTTCACCTGTTGCACTGCCCTCAAAAGTGCACAAATCTGTAAATGGGTGTTTAAACAAACATTACTCATCTCTCTTTAACCTTCATTCATCATTTGGTCCTTGATAGTATTTGTTTGGAAACCACAGATGCACAATGGAACATATTTCTTCTTATATCCTAAATCTTCTCACTTCCAGCTTGGTCAGATCCTGCGAAGCCCCTTCATGAAGTTCATAGCTCACGCTGTCTCCTTCACCATCTTCTTGGGTCTGCTTGTTGTCAACGCCTCTGACCGCTTTGAGGGTGTCAAGAACCTGCCCAATGAGACCATCACAGACCACCCGCGTCAGGTGTTCAGGGTCAAGACCACCCAGTTCTCCTGGACAGAGATGCTGATCATGAAGTGGGTGTTGGGTGAGTCCTCTTTCTCACACACAATTCTGCACAGTTGCAGCCAATTCAAATGCAAAAAAGAAAGTCACTGTCGATGCAGATTTTCCATCATGATAAGAAATAACCTTGATACAGCATATATAACAGTCAAAAGGTTTCCTTATGGATTTCCTTAGAATATTTAGTTTTTATTAATATGAATTTAATTAATCAACATGCAAGCAAGAATAGTTTATGGTGATGTTTCGACTCAGATTTCCAAAGTTTTTGATGCTAATCCAAAGTAATCTAATGTAGTGAAGCTACAGCATAGTGAAGTCTACAACACAACTCCTTCCCCATGAATCAGTGGAAAGACTCTGTGAACCTTTATGCCCAACTCTGATATGAGGCAGAATTCAAGATTAATGCAAGACTGTACCAACCAAGTGGATGAAAGCCAATGGCAATACAACAATTCATTCTCTTTTATCTTCCTAAGATCAAACAATTTCCTGGTTGGATGCGGCACAGGCCAGACTTGTTGAAGCAGTGGCCATGCTGAGTCCTAACGATAAACTGGAGGGAAATTTGGAGGTTGACCTGAGAGGTGGTGCTGAGGAAATATTAGAGGGAGGGATGGAGAGAAAGAAAAATGGCAGAAAAGAATGAAAGTTAAGGGAGGGGTGGAGTGTACGGCATACGAAAAGACAGGCATGAAGACACAGATAGATGGCTGTGAGACAAAGACATATTCAACAGATAAATAGCCCATGGCAGTATCTGTCAGACCTCAGCTGCTTCCCATCTGCTGATGTGCTTCCTTTCATCTACAAACACACACATTTAATAACATTATGTGTGGTCTGTCGGTGCACATATGCTCCTGTTTTTGTTTGTTTACGTGTGGTGGCACCATTCTTTGGCCATCCGTGGTCATTTTTGGCAGCAGGTGCTTGTGTGTGTGTGTGTATGTGTGTGAGTGTGTATGTGTGTTTCATTGTGTGCATATGTTTGTTTGTGTGTGTGTGCAGTGAATGGTGGCTTAGGTAGAGCAGGGTAATTCTAATTCCAGCAGCATGCTTTGAAGGCCCGGTAATTGTTACAGAGATGATACTGATCAGGGCGCTTTTTCAGTAAGCAATTTTCTCCTTGTTTTAGCTCCAAATGGAGAATGGCAGTGTGCGTGTGTGTGTGCGTGTGCGTGTGTGTGTTTGTTTGGGTGCACCTGAGCTATAATCGGGGGTGTCTGAATGGTTGAGTATAAACTATAAGCTTTGTTGTCAACATCTTTCTATGTGTCTTTTTGAGTGTTAAATTTGTATGAGTGCCTGTGTAAGCCTCCTTTTTTATTTGTATCTTTCCACAATGCATCCATGCACAGCGAAAACTGAAATCTTAGTAAGATTAAATGTCTTAAATCAAGGCAAATTATGCTTGTTTTTTAGGATTTGGGGTATATTTTTATGTTACAGCATTTCACTTGATTTTTTGCCCTTTATTATCTTAATACAATATTATAACTCATTACTGAGATTTAATTAATGGTTCTGAGTAACTTAATGCTTAAAACTATAATTACCATAATTCTAAAGCTGTTTGATCAACATTGAGGAGTACAAAAGGGCTTTGTCGAAGTCAGAATCTCTTATCATAAACATCTTATCCGTTTCATCTCTCTATGACCAAATTGAATTCCCTGTTTTATTGTTATCTTAACCTACAGAAAAGTAATCATGTACGTATTCAGAGTAAAATACTGTACAGAACAAAGACAGTAGCTACACTTTTCATTTCATTTAGCAAATGCTAGAACCATCATCTTGAATAAAGGCTTTATGTTTTGGAATGATATCTTAAAACCAGTACAGCTCAGCAGGGAATAGTGACAAAAATAAAAAGTCAAGTTAGCATGTTGAAAAGATTTCTTGAAATAAGTCAGAATGTCTATTCACGACAAGTCCAATCATCGAACATGGCTCATCCGTGGCTCTGCAATTGGAATAAATACACTTTAAACCATTTAACGAGGATCAATTGAAAGGGCAACCTTGTCAATTATAGCTCCACTAGTGTAGCTTAGGTTCTTAGTTGCTACAGTTGAAAACTATTGTCAGAAATTCTTGCGTCTCAGTGATTGGGACCGTCGCAGGCAAGTGTTGCCTTTGTCCCTTAAAATTCAGAGTGTGGAATGACCGCTTCAGTGTGCAGGCTTGTCAGCCCGTGATCCTCAAAATATTGAACAGAGAGTCCGTAGCAGAGTGGATAGCCTTTCTTGTGGGGAACAGAACATTCTGAATTCAGGGGTCATGGTTTGAGTTGATGGCACTAGTGTTTGCATTTAAGCACCTTTTCCTACATATTGAAAAAAAAATCTTTGATCCTTCATTTGTATTTAGACATTTGTACTTGTTTTTGGTCTAGCTGTACTGGGCTAAACATATAGCCTTATTTTAAGAGGATGTCACTAGCATTTGCTAAATCAAGCACATTTTTCAACCCTTTTTTTGTATCTAGACAAATGTATTTGTTTTTCGTGTAGCTGTACTGGTAAACCTGTAGGCTCTTTCAGACTAGATATTTTTAAGTGTTTTACAAAATCTTAGCGAGATATATTTCCCTGTTGTATTGGCAGATCATTTTTTTCATTTTAAGAAATATTTCCCTCATTTTATTGCCTTATTTCTTGTTTTTGAGAGCTGACCTTTTGCAGTGTGCATTTATTTGTATGTCCTCCTTCCTCAGGTATGATTTGGTCAGAATGTAAGGAGATCTGGACCGACGGGCCCAGAGAGTACATCATGCACCTGTGGAATGTTCTGGACTTTGGCATGTTGTCTATCTTTGTGGCTTCCTTCACGGCACGCTTCATGGCGTTCCTCAAGGCGACCAAAGCCCAGCAGTATGTGGACATGCACGTACCAGACGAAGACATTAGCACCGCCCTGCTGCCTGACGAAGTCGCCTACTTCACTTTCGGTAAGCAGTTACTCAAGAAATACGATGAAAGGCTTTGAAGATGTCTAGAAGTTTACTGATTTCTCTGGTGTTTAACAGAGATTGCTTGGACCGAGTCTGAGTCTGAGTTATTTGGCGCTCTCCTTTGTTTTCTCTGCCATTGTGACAACCACTATTCATGATAGCTAAATATCTCAATATATGTTTAATCTGAAAATATATATATTGTGTTTCAAACTGCCTCCCTTCTTATCTACCAAAAACAAATTCCAAAGAAAGGCCAGTTATTGACACAATAAGATCAAATGTAAAAGCTTTCATGAGGGGCTTGAATCATTGTTGTGCACAATCAGTCAGTGATAAGCAAATGAGATAAGTATTTGTCTAAAAATGTCACGAATAACGAAAAACATGAGCTGGGACACTAGAAGATGAGTGTATTTGTCATTTAATTAAAGATGTCATTGTTGCATATTTACCTCAACATGTTCACACATATTTGTGCACATATTCTTCTGTTTGATTCTTGGCTTGAGTGTAGCACACCACATTCAATTAGTGAATTTGATGTTTCCATAATAACAAGTACGTGCAGAGGTATATACACCGGCTGACAGAAACTCCGCAAACACAGTAAACACAGTAAACAGTGGGGAATTTGGATTTAAAACCTCCCCAGATAATTATTAATAACTATCTTTTATTCTGTCTTTATTTATTTGAAATGTACACCTGCCTGCGCTTGGGTCTAAATATCAACTTTATAGATTTATATAGAGTATAAAACGAATCAGGAAAACTTTGAGTTCATTACCAGAACCAAAACTCCTCTACAACATAATAAAACCTGCTGCAGGCTGCTGGACAGTACACTTCTTAGTGGCCTGCTAAGGGAACCTTCATCAGTGCTGTCATCTGGTGGTCTGACTCTGTCATGACATATCAGTAGATAGATGAAAATGTAAATGACTGGAGTGTCAGTTATTATCGTGGGCCGTTCTCCATACGTCTCCATATCTGCACTGAAAAGTGCACACATTGTGTGGGATATATTTTGTCCGAGATGGAATTTTTCGTTCTTTTACTTTTTTCTGTTTGTGGTCTTTTGTTCCCTGTTGTCCTCTCTCTCTGTCCTTACCTCTCCTTGGACACACTATCCTTTCTGTTTGCTGTCCACCCGCCTCATACTCGTTGCCCTCCCTCCTCCCTAATCCCCATCCATCATCACTGAATCCATCTTCTTACTGTACCTTCGCCAAGATTATACCCTTTACATCTCTTTCAAACCAATTATGTGCAGCTGATAATATTTATCAAGCCAGAGGAATGCAGGGTTTTCACAATAGGATTTAATGCACAGTAAAAAATACTGTGATTGTAAACCACACTCAGACCAAATATTTCAATCGGACATCAGAAAAGTTTTCAAATTCTAAATCCACAAACGCAGATGTGGATGATTATTAGAAATGTAATTTCAACATTAGTTTTGAAGCTATACTTGTATAGTTAATGCATCAGGTTGTATTCAGTGTAGAAATGTTAAATTTGGTCAAATCTGAAATGGGGAAACCAGTTCCCCACAAAATCAGACAATTACCGAACAATCTCTGGTTTGACTCTGCATTACCTCAATCACATTATACATTAACACCGTACTCAGCCGCTCGTCTTTGTCTTTCTTATCCTCCAGCCAGGAACAAGTGGCGCCCATCAGACCCCCAGATCATCTCAGAAGGCCTGTACGCCGTCGCTGTGGTGCTGAGCTTCTCGCGCATCGCCTACATCCTGCCAGCAAACGAGAGCTTCGGCCCATTGCAGATTTCACTGGGACGCACGGTCAAAGATATCTTCAAGTTCATGGTCATCTTCATCATGGTGTTTGTGGCCTTCATGATTGGCATGTTCAACCTGTACTCGTACTACCTGGGAGCCAAGTACAATCCTGCCTTCACCACGTGAGTAATGTATGGCTGAGATAGCGACTGTGAATAGTTGGTGGTTGTGTTTAAACACAAGCATTTACATCTTCATGCCTCCATCTTTTTATACAAACTTCAGCTAATGCTTTCAAAACACTGTGTAGCTACATGGAAGCCCTACTATGATCGTATTATATCAAAATAAAAAGATCTAATCTCCAAAGTATCTGATTTGGTTCCCATCTAAATGTGAGACCACAGAACAAGAAAATCCCCTAGATAATATAAATGGTCAATGTCCTCCTTAATGAGACTGTTTGCTGGGTTCATCAAATCCACAGTCATCGATCAGTGGCAGAGATCGAACTTCAATCCTCCCTCAGGCTTAATACAGGCAATCAGGCTATTTGGTTAAATACGGAGAATGATGAATGTGAAGACTCACTCACTAAATTCTCTATATATAATTTAAATGCTTCGTCTTTGATTAAAAAATATATAAAAATCTTTATATGTCATTCAGTTAATGATGAGGCAAAACATCTTGGCCTATTGAGTTTTGTAGGTCAATATGGATGTGATAGTTAAAAGAGAGCAAGAGGAGTGCAGTTTTTCAAGTGGCGAGTGACGGAGAATGTCTGAGGTGCTGGGGGAGGGAGTTCCAGAGGGAGGGGTCAGCAATGGAGAAGGCCCTGTCCCCCCAGGTTCGGTGCTTGGACCAAGTAGGGGGGGTAAGGAGGTTGGTGTCGGTGGATCGGAGGTTGCTGGTGGGAGTGTGTCGGTGCAGGAGGTCAGAAAGATATAAAGTGGGTTGTGAAGGGCTTTGTATGTAATGAGGAGAGTCTTGAACTGTGTTCGTTGCTGTATGGGGAGCCGGTGGAGGTTTTGAAGGACTGGGGCGATGTGATCTCTGGTGCTGGAGTGGGAGATCAGACGGGCAGCTGACTTCTGGATGTATTGTAGTTTGTTGATGATTTTGGTGAATGTGCCGTACAGGATGCTGTTGCAGTAGTCCAGTCGAGAGGCGATGAAGGCGGGGATGAGTGTTTCAGCGGCTGTGGAGGAGAGGGAGGGGCGTAGACGGGCAATGTTTTTGAGATGAAAGAAGGCGGTTTTTGTGATGTGATTTGATGTGGCGTTCAAAGGAGAGGGTTTGCTCAAAAATGATACCAAGGATATGGATGTGTGTGGAAGCAGGAACAGTGGTGCCATCGATGCAGAGGGAGAAGTTGTGGTGGGATTCTTTTGTGTGATTTGGGGCCGATGATGAGGATTGAGTTTGAGAAAGTTGGCTTAGATCCAGGACTTTATATCTGTGAGGCATTTGGAGTGGGTGGTGGGGGTGATTGATTAGGTGGAGATGTAGAGCTGGGTGTTGTTAGCATAGCAGTGGAAATGGAGACCATGGAGGCATGTGATGTTACCAAGGGGGCGCAAGTAGAAGATGAAGAGAACAATATCATCCTCTCCTTACTGGTTATGAAGCAATCTCTTCCAAGCATAACTACTCTATTAAGAGCTGGGACAGAATCCAAAGTTCTTGTTCTGACTTCAGCAGTCTGAGTTAGACAAATCAAGTGGGACAGACTATTGTTGTATTTGAAAATTGAAAATCCTCCAACCAAAAAGGGGATGATAGCAACCCTAAATACTCCAAGTGCACTTAACCTGCTAAAGTGCTGCATTTAACTTTATTATAAGGGACCATCCATTTCAAATGGCCAACTGTACAATTTAACCAAGGAGTCAATTTGCACTTAAAGGCTGCAGTGCATAAAACCAGCCCTACAATGCCTTGAATCAGTACTTTCACTTTAACATCAGCAACAAGAAGTTAAAAGTGTATTCTATCAATTTTACTGCCATATATATATATATATATATATCAAGCTGCTTGTAAATCAACCTGTCCAACAAGTCCCGCAACACATCAATCTGAATATCAATGCTTCTGCCACCTTCATTCATTTTAGCATATCCGCGTGTCTGCATGCTCATTCTGTCACATCAGCTGCAAACAGAGTGATGGTGGATCTTTCACTGTCATTGTCTAATATTGTACAAAGCTATCCAGCAAGTCTCTTTATCATCATTCATCTCAAAATGAAAACTCTCTCCGAGTTCTCTCGCTGTCGCATATCATTATTCATTTTCTCAGAGGAAGACATCTGCAGATTTAAACAGATGACATTACACCATTTCTGCTCAATCATTCCATTACAAGTTGTTCTGTAATTACATTGTCATGTACTGTTCGAATCAGAGTGGAAAAGTCTATGTAATTGCAGTTTATCATCTGGTATTTTAAGGTTCACACTTCCACTTTGCAAGAAAGCTTGGACTCAGGAAGTCACACGTAGCTTTGTCTTTGTGCAAGTTGGGTACTGAGTCATCCTGCCAGGTTAGAGCAATTGACAGGTTCAAAACCAATCTGTACATTTAGTGGAGCATGGTGTTTATGCTCTTCTGCATAATTTACCTGACAGGTTTATCATATCAGTGAAGAACACACAGTGTGACTAGAATTCTTGCCCTCAGTTAATGTTTCATTAACAGGCTTTCCTAAAATGACAAAATGCTTCCAGGTGTCAACACCTGTCTCCTCATTGAGCATACACCTTGTGCTGGTTTGGAGTACTCCCAGTAAACCACACAGTAGTTTGATCCAAAGTACATTTGCATTGCGTCATCAGGTCAGCAAGTTCAGAAATTTCAACCAGACAATGTCGTACATCACACACCTACAGCTCATGGAGTCAAACATCAGGTGCAATAACACCACATACCCTTCTATGTCATATTTGTGCAGCCTCAGCTGTTTTTCTAAATGCACCAGATGTTTGACCGCCATCGTCCGCACATGTGAGCTATGTGAAACCTGGAAGCAATTTCCAAGTTTTTGACCTCCTCGACATTCACCTTAGATAGAATTACTGATCATAAAAGGTGTGTGATCAGATTTCTAGTGTTCTACTTCCTCATGCAGACTTGCACTGCACCTCTGTGCTGTGTATATACAGTATAGCTCCTCTGCTGAGCCGCAGCACAGGGGTCTTAGAGGCTGTGAGTTCTGCTTGGCTGCCCACATGGAGCCAAAGATCAAAGACAGAGCAGCGGCGTGAGACTGAGTTCCCTGACAGAAAAGGTAGATAGAGACTAATGGAGTTCAAATGGACAGTCAGACAGATTTTGCTCAGTCAGACATAATGAAGACTTCTTAAAAAGCAGTGGACAGAAAAGACCCTGCTCCCTGCAGATAGAAGTGCCTTATCATCCCCATTACACAGTCATTTCCATCATGAATGTACAATCCAGCTCTGTACATTGTCCGCTTATCACTTCCCTCTCTGCTTTAGAGATCAACATCAAGGCTGATTTAAAAAAAATCAGTGTTAACAAAGCCGTGATAGTAATAGAAACTATTTCAGCTCATCTTAAAACTGCTGCCTGCATTTCTTGTCAGATTAGGCATTTTTGGCAAGAAAATGGCCCTGCCATTTCAGTTGCCCACTCTGGCAATGGGAGCTGTATAGAGATGGTTTTAGCCTGACAGAAACCCCCCTAAATTCTGTTGTTGTTGTTGTTGTTGTTGTTGCTGATGCTGATGTCAGTCTTGCCACTAGGGGTCAGTCTGGCTCTAAATCTCAACCTGCCTGGACTGAAATGTGCAAAGAGACACTACTGAATTTATATTTCTAACATCTAATTTTTTGTTGCTTGAATTTAATCATCCCTTTTCACCAATACTTCTGGGCATGTTTATTTTTCTGTCCGGCTCAATGCAATTATGAAGTATGACTGCAATATGTTTGGTATGACTGATAGTCTTGCGTACAAATTGAGAATTCACAAAATAAACAACGTCTTGTCCGTCTCTTTTCTCTCTGTCACAGCTGAGAACGTGCCTGTGTGGATGTGTGTGCTGTGTGACTTTAGCTATCTGACGGGGCATGTTTGACGTAGGGCAGAAGAAAGGGCTGGTGTGATAGCTCTGATAAAGGAAGATGAGGAAGGAGACAGGTGTAGGTAGTAATGATACCCCAGGAGGGGCCACTTGGGCTGTGGGAACGGAGGGAGGGGTGTGAGAGGAAGGATGGTGGGGTATGGTGGAGGGGTGAGGTGGAGGATATCACTCTCTCTCTCACACACACATATACAGATGCATGCACAGCAGGATAGGGCATAATGAAGACTGAGCAATAATAGCCACAATCCCCATGGGTGCGAAGACTCAGACAGCTGTCTGACTTTCACACTTTAAAGACACACACATGCCTTTTGTTGCCCACACATTAATGTGCAAATACACTTTAGCAGTGGCGCACAAAAAGGGCACGTACATTCACACATCACACTTCTCTCTCAATGTTTGTTTTTGCATATTCTATAACACACACTTAGGTAGGCATACAAAGATTTATGTACAGATCAACACACACACACGCTTATCAGGATTCTGATTTGGACAGCAGTGGTGGAGCAGTAGACCTTGTCTCTATGTTCTAGTCAACCATGCATGACAACACTGCACAGAAAGACGGACACAGAGAGAGAGGACAGGGCAGGTAAAGGGAAGAAGGTGATATGAATGGAATGGCAAAGTGTTTTGAAATAGGTGAAGACTGTTCAGAGTATAGAACAAGACACAATGGGGTGTCAAAGACAGTGAAAGAAAATCTAAATAATGATTATACTGGTGCTGAAGTGAAACATTGGAAATACTACTTAATAAATGCAGCACAATCACAGGGACAGCTAACGGCACTGTAACAAAGTATAAAGATTAAGTCCATCGGGGTGAGGAGGGGGATATGGAGGGAATGAGGGATGAAAAGAGAACCACTGGGAGAGATGTATATGCAGAGAATGGTGTGTTTTTGGCTCGGCTGTTTGTTCAGGCAAAATGTGGGAGACCAGCCAGGATGCATGGACAAAAGAGGAAAACGAGGGAGAAAGGATGAGAGAAGGTCAAACAGACAAAAGCTCAGCCACACAGACTCAGCACAGATTCAGATGGCACTACATTTTTACCAGTA